AAATGTCCCACATTAAAATTACATTTGTAAACTTTAACATGTTTAGGTTTCAGATTGTTTCAGATTGCAAAAACAAAGATGAATTGATTCATGCAAATATTGTAAAGCCTAAAGCTGCAGCTCTATGATGTATGTTGGGCTGACGTTTGTTAATCAAACCTGAGGAAAAGTTCTGTCTTCAGTGTTATTCACTCATCCATGTTAGAAAATTCCAGAGTTGGTTTTGTTCACCTGGTCACAGGATTTTAAATGGGAGAAATGTTTCACTGCTTATCCAGGTGACTCCTTCAGTATCAGCTGACCACAACCTTAACAGTGCAGTACTTAAGCAGAACAGCTGCATAACAACTGAAACCAGCACCACTGACTAACAATGAGCCACCAATTCAGTTTCAGGATCGTCAGTATGCAAACTGGTACCACGAGTACCAATCGCATCACTGTGAGATGATGAGCAATCGTTCAGAGGTGTCATCGCCTTTTCACGTAACGGCTCCCCACTCAAACCATGATGTGCACACCGTCACTGTGCGAGTTGCCACTGGTCTGTAGGTGTAAACAGACCACCGCGTCTCAGCCTGATGAGCTAGCTCTTCTGCGCTGTGCAATCTGCTAACCTGTGGTTGTCTGGTTAACTTTCTGAATTCAATGTAATTGGAAAATAAAGAAAATACATTAAACTGCAAGCTAGTTGAAGGAAACCAGGGTTTTGGTTCATGAAGACATTTCACCTCTCATGCATGATGGATCGTTGACCTGCCCGGTTTCTATGCAGGTCGTTAAGGGTCCCATCAGTTGAGCTGACGTGTGACTGAATGCATGGGTTATGTGGGTCACATGACCTGTGGTGTGATTCCTATGTGGGACAGCTTCATGAACCAAAAACAAAGTCTAGCTGCCGTCAATTTAATAACTTCAAACTAGCCTGGTCTCAACACCTGTATCTTATGTTTCATCAGAAATAAGAACGTGGCAATCATGTGACATCCTTACAGACAAGCTGCATGATAACATGTCGCTAACAACAGTGACACTTGAAAAGGCGATTTGTGTTTCCACTATTTTCTTCTTTAAAAAGAAACAAGTGCTGCCTGCTGGAAATATATTCCGGCTTTTATGAGCGTAGACTAAAATGAAGCAATTCTTCTGTAAGTTCACTGGCGTGTTGTGTGATTTGTCTTTCAGGCCTGCTCAGGATCCACGAGCGCCATGGCCTCCACCCCAGGTACTGCACGAGCCTTAATCCGCACTTTAGCGCTTCAGTTAGATGTGCATGGTTTAATTCTTTCCTTGTTTTCAGAGTTGAAAATCGGCCAGAAGCTCAATGAGGGCAAGACTAAACAGATTTTCGAGCTCGTGGACCAGCCGGGACTGGTTCTAGTCCAGTCTAAAGACCAGATCACAGCTGGGAACGCCGTGAGCAAAGATCAGATGGAGGGCAAAGCTGCCGTTGCCAACAAAACCACGAGCTGCGTGTTCCAGCTGCTGCAGGAGTCTGGTGAGGTTTTTATTTCTGCACAAGGTTTTGGAAACAACAGATTGCATCAAAGGTTGATTCAGTGACAGGAAACAAACAGCCTAAATCTCGTGCATGAACAGAAATGATAATCATGCAGTAATACTTCATGTATACAAATTCAATAAAATGTAGTTTTTAATCTCAGATGTTGTCATTTGTCCGTGAGTTTGAGGTTGCTCTGATATCCACCCTTCTCTCCTCAGGCATTAAGACGGCCTTTGTTAAGCAGCACTCGGACACGGCGTTCATCGCTGCGCGCTGCGAGATGATACCCGTTGAGTGGGTGTGTCGCAGGGTGGCGACTGGATCTTTCCTCAAGAGGAATCCAGGAGTCAAAGAGGGCTACCGCTTTTCTCCTCTAAAGATGGAGATGTTCTTTAAAGTGAGTCTTGCTGCGTGCGGTGATTCTCTCCGTGTGTTTTCAGTCTGAATGTTGCCGCAAACTCATCACTGATTGTGTTTTTAGGATGATGCCAACAATGATCCTCAGTGGTCAGAGGAGCAGCTGCTGGAGGCCAAACTGTGTCTGGCTGGACTCACTATTGGTCAGTGTGAGGTGGACATAATGAGCCGCAGCACTGTGGCCATTTTTGAGATAGTGGAGAAGGCCTGGGCCACTCAGAACTGCTCCCTGGTGGACATGAAGGTAGGCTGTGCAGCAGCGCCCCCTGCTGGTTAAAGTCACATCTTGGTGCGATCTCTTCTCTCCTGTAGCTGCAGCAGAACTACAACTAAGGACTTTTTCTTTGCTTATAGATCGAATTTGGCGTCAGTGTGAAAAGGCGAGAGATTGTGCTCGCTGACGTGATTGACAACGATTCGTGGAGGCTTTGGCCAGCTGGAGATCGGAGCCAGCAAACAGACAAACAGGTGATGGACTGACTTTGATTTATTTTCATGCTGATATGAAAAAGAAACAAGCCTCAAACTTTTCTTTTCCCCTTTGTAGGTGTACAGAGAGCTGAAGGAAGTGACCCCAAAGGCAATGCAGATGGTGAAGAGGAGTTTTGAGTGGGTCTCTGAAAGGGTCAAGGTACAGCAAACAGATGCCTCTAATCTATTCTTGATCTTGTAGGAGTGTTTAGCTCTTTCTTTGCTTTGAACATCCAAACCAACAAACACTGTTTAACATCACAAAAGCCTGCAGCTGCTTTTGATGTAATTCAGGAAAAAACCAGCACAGCTGTACGATTTTTCTTTTGAGCAGGTAAAACTGACATAAAGTGATGATTCAATGGTTTCTGTGTGTCTACAGTTGCTGCTGGAGCCCCAGGCAAGCAGCAGGGTGGTGCTTTTAATGGGCTCCACCTCAGACGTGGCCCATTGTGAAAAGATAAGAAAGGCGTGCGCCTCCTACGGGATCCCCTGTGTCCTCAGAGTCACCTCGGCACACAAGGGTCCAGATGAGACGCTCCGCATTAAAGCTGAATATGAAGGTGAGCTTTAATATTGACGTAACTGCGTCTTTATACTGATGTGGGATTCTTTCTAATCGGATCGTTTCTTTATGCTGTGCTGCAGGTGATGGCATACCCACTGTGTTCGTGGCTGTGGCTGGGAGGAGTAACGGCCTCGGCCCAGTGATGTCTGGTAACACGGCTTACCCTGTGATCAGCTGCCCTCCTCTCACTCCAGACTGGGGACCACAAGATGTCTGGTCATCCCTCCGCATGCCAAGTGGTGAGCAGAGCTCTTTACTGTAGCGTGCAGCGTTAATCGTTCGTGCTGTTTTTGGATTTATTTATTTTTGTCCTGCAGGTCTTGGCTGCTCCACCGTGTTGTCTCCTGAAGCTTGTGCTCAGTTTGCAGCGCAGATCTTGGGGTTGAGGGACCACCTGGTGTGGTGCAAACTGAGGGCCTCCATGCTCAACACCTGGGTGTCTCTCAAGCTGGCTGACAAGAAGTTACAGGCCTGCAGCCTCTGAAGAGCCCAGCGTGCATCACGCTCAACAAAAGAGCTTTGGTCCATTTAGCACCCTTGAAGCGAACTGCAGGACTGAAAACGACACAATTCATTTATTGAGGCCAAGTTTATAACATGGAACAGTTTCTAACAGATTTGTTATAGTTTCTCATTTTAATGGGATTTTATAGAACTTTTTAATTTGTTTATTTATTTTTGCATGCATATTGTTGCTGCCTGTGTTTAATGGTGTCATTTTTGTAACTAGCTGCTGCCTATCGTCAGGTCTCCCTAAAAAAAGGTTTTTGTTTCAGTGGGATCTACCTGGCTGAAAAAAAAGTTCAATTACAAACATTGTTTACTATGAAAACCCAGTAACTGTAGATGTTTGTCACACATATGATTGAAGCCTGTATGTATTTGTATGCTTTTTTTTAAGACACACCGAGCTTTTGGATCACAGCAGAAGAAGTGGAATCAAAACATGTAAACAGTTTGTTCACGGTGGCTCACAGACACGTGGACAGGAAGTTGTGTCATGGAGCTTTCTTTTCTGACTCGATGCAATAAAACTTTTAAATACTCATATTCATGAATCTCGTGATAATTTGGGGGATTCCGTGATTTCTTGAATCTCACTCAGTGCACGTACTCATGTGTCTTTAAAATCAAATCAGTCTTTTATGTGTGATAAATATTATAAATGTGTTTAACACTGTGTATCTAAACTAATTCAGCACCACAGAGCTAATTACAGAAACGTTACTACTTCAAACAAACTCCCTGATTGTCCCCCACTCTGCTCCATCTGGGCGTTTGTGTGCGAGTCATGCTGTGTTTGCCACATACACAGCATCTTTATCTTTAAGTGATTATATGACAGACCGGGTGGCCGAGAGGCTTTGTGTGGTGAGGAGACAATAGCTCTGAAAAATTGTTTGTTGCTTAATTTGTTTATGCTGCTCTAAGAATAAAGTAACGCGTCTTTGACGAAGTCGTTCTAACTACTATGATTGATGCTTTGACAAAAGCTAATTTACTTTTTTGCTTTACTTGGGAATGAAAATTCATTTTTTGAGCTACAAAGTCCCAGAAATGTTATTACACCAAATAAATAATGCATCTTAAACTATAGTGGGCAGAAAGGCTGGATTAAAAGCTGCTTGGCAAGATCGGCTTACTTCTCACCCTGTTTGTGTGCTTCATGGTGTTGTGATGTGAAGCTGTGCAGACGAGTTTTTTGTTTTCTGTTCTCATGCTGACCTCCCACAAGCAGCCCAGTATGAGCAGGGGCCTCTTTCCCCCTCCTCTAGTTGCCCATTGAGCTGTGCATATCTTCCAGTTACTACCTGTCTCCCATGTGGTGTCTGTGCTGTGTATGTGTGGTCGGGGTTTGCAAACTTGCATGTGACAAATGAAGGTTTCATTGAAAGTTTTAGGTCTAATCTTAAAGGTTGAGACAGTGTCTGTCTCCTGAATCCCAGCTGGTTCCACAGAAGACGGAACTGGAAGTACTGTGTTGTGACAATAAAGCACTATGAGATCTTTTAGCAGGTATTCATCCATCTGACCTGCAGCCATACTGGCTTTATTTAAGGAACACTGATTATTTACATTTTTACAAAAATGACACCATTAAAACACAGGCAGCAACAAGACACATGCACCAAAATAAATAAACAAATTCCATTAAAATGAGTAACTATAACAAATCTGTTAGAAACAGTTCCATGTTATAAACTTGGCCTCAATAAATGAATTGTGTCGTTTTCAGCCCTGCAGTTCGCTTCAAGGGTGCTAAATGCACCAAAGCTCTTTTGTTGAGCGTGATGCACGCTGGGCTCTTCAGAGGCTGCAGGCCTGTAACTTCTTGTCAGCCAGCTTGAGAGACACCCAGGTGTTGAGCATGGAGGCCCTCAGTTTGCACCACACCAGGTGGTCCCTCAACCCCAAGATCTGCGCTGCAAACTGAGCACAAGCTTCAGGAGACAACACGGTGGAGCAGCCAAGACCTGCAGGACAAAAATAAATAAATCCAAAAACAGCACGAACGATTAACGCTGCACGCTACAGTAAAGAGCTCTGCTCACCACTTGGCATGCGGAGGGATGACCAGACATCTTGTGGTCCCCAGTCTGGAGTGAGAGGAGGGCAGCTGATCACAGGGTAAGCCGTGTTACCAGACATCACTGGGCCGAGGCCGTTACTCCTCCCAGCCACAGCCACGAACACAGTGGGTATGCCATCACCTGCAGCACAGCATAAAGAAACGATCCGATTAGAAAGAATCCCACATCAGTATAAAGACGCAGTTACGTCAATATTAAAGCTCACCTTCATATTCAGCTTTAATGCGGAGCGTCTCATCTGGACCCTTGTGTGCCGAGGTGACTCTGAGGACACAGGGGATCCCGTAGGAGGCGCACGCCTTTCTTATCTTTTCACAATGGGCCACGTCTGAGGTGGAGCCCATTAAAAGCACCACCCTGCTGCTTGCCTGGGGCTCCAGCAGCAACTGTAGACACACAGAAACCATTGAATCATCACTTTATGTCAGTTTTACCTGCTCAAAAGAAAAATCGTACAGCTGTGCTGGTTTTTTCCTGAATTACATCAAAAGCAGCTGCAGGCTTTTGTGATGTTAAACAGTGTTTGTTGGTTTGGATGTTCAAAGCAAAGAAAGAGCTAAACACTCCTACAAGATCAAGAATAGATTAGAGGCATCTGTTTGCTGTACCTTGACCCTTTCAGAGACCCACTCAAAACTCCTCTTCACCATCTGCATTGCCTTTGGGGTCACTTCCTTCAGCTCTCTGTACACCTACAAAGGGGAAAAGAAAAGTTTGAGGCTTGTTTCTTTTTCATATCAGCATGAAAAGAAATCAAAGTCAGTCCATCACCTGTTTGTCTGTTTGCTGGCTCCGATCTCCAGCTGGCCAAAGCCTCCACGAATCGTTGTCAATCACGTCAGCGAGCACAATCTCTCGCCTTGTCACACTGACGCCAAATTCGATCTATAAGCAAAGAAAAAGTCCTTAGTTGTAGTTCTGCTGCACCTACAGGAGAGAAGAGATCGCACCAAGATGTGACTTTAACCAGCAGGGGGCGCTGCTGCACAGCCTACCTTCATGTCCACCAGGGAGCAGTTCTGAGTGGCCCAGGCCTTCTCCACTATCTCAAAAATGGCCACAGTGCTGCGGCTCATTATGTCCACCTCACACTGACCAATAGTGAGCCCAGCCAGACACAGTTTGGCCTCCAGCAGCTGCTCCTCTGACCACTGAGGATCATTGTTGGCATCATCCTAAAAACACAATCAGTGATGAGTTTGCGGCAACACTCAGACTGAAAACACACGGAGAGAATCACCGCACGCAGCAAGACTCACTTTAAAGAACATCTCCATCTTTAGAGGAGAAAAGCGGTAGCCCTCTTTGACTCCTGGATTCCTCTTGAGGAAAGATCCAGTCGCCACCCTGCGACACACCCACTCAACGGGTATCATCTCGCAGAAGGTGTGCAGGCAGCCGAGGAGGGGAAATGGGCGTGTCTTACCTGTGCCGGGAGCCAATCGCGGTCCTCAGCTCATCTAACCAGCCAATCACAGCCGGGCATTGATTTCCACGTGAGGAGAAGACGCTCAAACATCAAGAGAAGACGTTTAATTAGGTACAAATAAAAAATAAAAACCTTTGGAGCTTTTTTCGCAAAAGTTAATCGTTTTACTCTTTGATAAGAAGTGATGGCCAAATGAAGCTTTCTGAAGCTTGTGCTGAAAAACGGTTCATTACTTCAAGCTCTTCAACACAGTCCTGTCTGGTGACACCTGGTGGCCAAAAATATGAAGAGCAGCTTGAGTCTACAAATGAACGTGTACTGCTTCATCATGACTACACACTCTACAGAGTGATTCACTTCCCTATAATCCACAGAATCAGATACTGAAGCAGTTACGTTCTAAAGGAAGCTTCAGTCGTCACTGATCATGTGATGTTTTTTGACACACACGTCGGAGCGTCAGCTTCAAGCTGGCCATCACTAATAAGAAGCTTGTCTTATCAAAAGCTCCAACAGGTCAAAACAGTGTGTTTTTGATCGAATCGATTAGTTTGAGTTTGAACACCGACTCGTGATCTAGAGCTGGTGTCACCCAGAGTTTTGTTTTTAGAGATGTGTAACAGAACCAGGCACAATGGATCCTCTTACATCAGGTCTTAGCTGAAAGAAAAAAGGACAAATAGGAGCAAAGAGGCAACAAGGCTAAATGAATACAGGAAGCATAGATAATAACTGGAGTTAACATTCTAGACAGCAGCTACTGATGTTGTTGAATGTGATGTGTTGTTTTTACTTGTATTGGTCTGTAATGCAGTAATAAAACGCTAAACTCAGTGATCACACTGCAATAATGTTTCCCATTACAAACCACCAAACATGCCTTTGTCTCCTGTGCAGCGTGAGCTACAATCACCTGATTTCAGTTCATGCAGAGGAAGAAGGTGGAATCATCTTACAACCTTTGAGGAGTGAAGATATGGACATTTCTTTGTTTTTAATTATTGGATTATTTTAAGCAGTATCACTGTGGTTGTGACTGTGTGGAACTTTTAACCTCCTAGGACCTGGCGTCCACATATGTGGACATCACATTTTGGGTTATTTAGACCAAAAAGAGAGATACGAGCGAGCAAGCATCTCACTGATCACTGCTGCCGTATTGTAGATCAGCTTGTTAGTGTCGGTAATCGTGGTTGTAGGTATTGTCCGTAGTGCTGCATTAACATCATCTAGCAGACCTTCTGAGGGTACTTCACGTAATCTTGGTAACCGGCTACGGGGGATCCAGGTTTCAAGCTTGGCCATGATCCTATTTTTCAGGTCAGTTCCTCTCGCACTCAACGATCCTTCTCCTATCGCACTTGGGGCTATGTACCCAATCTCGGGTGGGGGTGATGATATCTCCCCCCTGACCTGGCGTCCTGACTCCTCCTTGCCGTAGCATTTGTGTTGTACCTCGTCAATCTCTAGCTGTGAGAGCAGTCCCTTCTTTCGAATGTTGGAACACTGAGCTACTAGTTGTTTCGCCGTCATTGTGGATGTTGGGTATCGAAGAATCCATAGGTCCCTCATCCTATTCATGTAGCCCCTTCTGCCGGGGTTACTTGCGTAGTAGCATTCCAACAACGCCCTGTTTTCGTCTCTTGCCCACCGATGCCTTCTTGTTCCAGTAGCCCACTTTTCGTCAGGGTGCCCTGGTTCCTCAACACCTGACGCGGACCTTGTTGATCTGGGCGACGTCCGAGCCGGCATGCCTTCATATTTATCTGTCTCGCTCATGTCTGCGGTAGGCTTGCTTAGCATAGGGGGTCTAGCCTTAGGACCCTTACTGGATACAGACGCCCCAGGCAGGAATCGAACTTGCGATCCTCTGCTCCAAAGGCGTGTAGTCTAACCACTACGCTATCCAGCTCTGCTTGGTGCCGAAACCCAGGACTAATATATATATACATATATATACATACACACACAATATATATATACATATATATACACACACACACACACATACATACATATACATACATACATATACACATATATATATAAATATACATATATATCTATACATATACATATATATATATACATATATACATATACATATATACATATAAATATATATACATATACATATACATATAAATATATACATATATATACATACATATATATATACACACATATATATATACACACTTTATAGTATAATTTAAAATTACAGTATACTATTATTTATTTTATTTTTATTCAATATGTTTAAATTATAGATATAATACATTTATATTATATTCTCACTGATACAGCATTATGACATTATTATACTTTTTATGTATAAGAGCACAATAATAGTAATATAATAATATTAGTACACTTATATCATATATATTTAACAACATATAACATTTTATATACGGGTGTATTCCAAATTATAAATTATTACTATATTATCAACAACACTAAGTAATCTATACAATTATATCACTAAATACAATTAAATATTATATAAACAACATAATATAAACATAATAATATAGTCACATATTTACTCATATAACATGTGACAACTATATATACATTATAGCATATATAATATTGATGACCCAATACTTACGATATAATATCTCTCTTCACAGTAGATTATACCTTACAAGTATAATTTACTTAAAGTAGAACCATAAATAAGGTGTCACTATATACACATTATAAATATACTAAATAGCATGATATTAAATACATAGATGACACTAATTATTTTTACATCATAACATTGTGATGTTACTAGTGTCATACATATAAATACAGAATTAGTTAATCATTAGTATGATTATATCGACATAATAAAAAGCAGACAATGCATAATTATACATATATCATATATATTAGTAATACCCATATAATATGCATATACTACGATGTCTGTGTCGGCTCATGTTTTTATCATCAAGGGCCCCTTTAATATACCACCTCTTATATACACCCTAAGCATTTACATAGCATACAGTTAGTAGTAAGGCAGCACATACATATTCTAAACATATTACATATATTACGTACTCACCACACGACAATTAAACGATATACATATATCATACACACACATATATGTAACATATACATATATACACACGCATCGTATACTTGACCTGGTAATACAGATATTACTACCAACTAATATGTTATATCATTGAATATCATTATGATATCGGTGAGGTATTTTCACTATTGATAATGGTGAAACTTTTTCCATAGCTAGCAGAAAGTCAAGACAGGTAGACCTTTACATACTATATTAGATATATAGGTACTAATACATAATTATATATTTGTTATATGTATATTATAATAATTACAGTAATGAATATATATTATATTATGAGTGTGAGAGAAGAGAGAGAGAGAGAGGGAGAGAGAGAGAGAGCGAGAGAGAGAGAGAGAGAGAGGAGAGAGAGAGAGAGAGGAAAGTATTATTCTATATAGATCTATACGCAGATATAGCATAGGAGAGTATATCCATAGTATAAATGATATATTAGGTCTACTCAAGATAGTAAATAAGTCTATATATAATATACAGTATGTTATGACTATGCTGAGTGTATGGAGAAGTGTAGGCGAGGGATAGAGGGGCTAGACT